GCTGTACTCATTTGGTTTTTCCCTAAAAACGTAGTATTGCTGCTCCCTTCTTCCAGTATGTGTCCCTGGTACCTCTGCAATTAGAATGGGATGCCACAGTAACGCTGGGTAATGATTATGTTCCCTCCAGCCAACCAGTAGGAGGTTTGTAGCCAGTGGTGCATGCTGGGGGGAGAGCATAAATGTTTTGGAAGAAGGTCTCATCCTCCTGGAATTGTCTGATCTTTTATGTCTATAACAGATAGACGTGCCCAAGAAGAGAAGCTGTGAACTTTACTCAGTGGATATAATAGGGACATTAGATTGTGAATTCTTTTTTTCTGCTTTACCACATGTCAAAAAGGTAAGAGGTTGCAGTATTTTTGAACAGAGCCAATAAATGCATAGGCACCGGATTTACATGATTTTGTCATCTTTGACTTGGTATCTCAGCCCAGGAAGTGATGCCAGAACAATCGCATTATCCGTCTTGGGAGAAAATCAGATCCCCCTTAGAAACCTGCCTGCACAAAAGAAATGCATTTTGGGAAACCAATAAAGAAGAATGCTCCTTTTTGTAAGTTTATTGGATTGCTACTTTCCCACCTGGGATCCGCATCTAGTGCCACCATTCTTAAAAATAATGTCAGTTTCATTCTTGTTTTGTGCCAGCTCACTGATAATGTCGGAGTCGGATGTAGCACAGCTTGTTAATGTTCAATAAGCCTTTAATAAGCCTTGCCAGATCACGTTGAGATCGCCCTAGAAGGCACCGATGATGTCGTTTTTCGTAGGGGGAAGCTGTGAGGCCGTGGTTACATCACAAGTGCCTACTCAAAATTGGAAAGTGAAAAAATAGGTTAAAGTGGTCTTACATATACTTACTGAATGACTAACCTCAGGTGATACACAGGGATGAAACAAATTATCCTACATAAATTGTATCGGTTACTCTGCAGCCTCTCTTTTCTATAGCCTTCTAAAACACAAAGATCAAAGGCTTTTTCTCAGCTCCAGAAGGCAGGGGGCAGGATGTCACACTGCACAGAATGGAGAGGATAGCTCAGTGCAATCTGAGACCTGAGTGGAAGAAATGACCATCCTCCTTACTGTTGGGAATGCAACAGCATGTACTATATAGTATTGTGTGTTAATATCACTTGACCAGTAGATGGCACTGTAGACTAAGGTTACCAGTTGTGCATATGTGTAAAACTTGTTGGTTCTCTCTCTTTCTTCCTCTCTTCAAAACCAAGATGTCTGGTGAAATGTGTTCTGTATGTTTGCAACTTAAGCCACACAAGTAAAACAGAGTTCTGCCTCATCACAAGCTACCAGTGTCTTCTCTAACACATAACCAACACTTACACACTCTCTTAGGGAAACATGAAGTGTCAATCACAGGCTCTATACTGGAGGGAGAAGGCGGGCTGTCTCCTGAGATTTTCTGGTGTCAACATAATCCATTGGAAGTGACTCATGCAGATAGAGGAAGAAGACAGAAGAGAGAAATGACACTCAGTGCTTTGCCTTGAGGCAGGTACACACTACATAAGGACATGCTTTGTTCATTTTTAAGGTCATAGGTTTACAGCCACTTTAAGTTAAACATTTTTTATTTCTACAAATTATTTTTATGGATGTGCTTGGAGGGTAAAGGTCCACTTTAAGGAGTTGTCATAGTGAGCAATGTGATTGCTGTGGGCTTGTTCAAACCATGTCTACTGAGCTATATTTTCCTGCATATCACCACACATGTATGGTGTGAACAAGGTACATAAAAACAATGTTTTCTATATGCCCTGTTCACACCATGCACATGGGGTGATATGCAGGAAAAATACAGCTCAACAGACATGGTGTGAACAAGTCCTTAACCTTGCTATGCCCATCCCCACCCCTGCAAGAGATTGAGAAAAAGGACAGACAATCTCTGTACCACTTGTTGATGTTCCTGGTATGTGGGCAGGCCTACATTGTACATGATGACATCACAGAGCTTCGACCACTTCAGTAGAAAACAGTAGCTGCTCCGGGGACCATTAATACAGAAAGGAGGAGGCCTGCAAAGAAAAAAAAAAAAAAAAAAAAAAAAAAAAAAAAAAAAAAGGTGTTCCACCTTATTCCCTATTCGACAAAGAGCATTCCACCCATGCAGTGTAGGTCGACTCCTCGCAAGGTAAACTTGCAGTAACTCAGAGTTCAGCTTTACAGTACTGTATATCTAAAGCAGATTTTCTCTTTTGTTTTGAATAGAATAGGGAAGGGTTAGTACCCACGTGAGTTTCTTTTTGCAGTCCTAGTGTGCATTGGGGAGATTCACTCTATTGGTCAGGGTGACCATTGCCATCTGGACTAAAAAGTGAGGGGGGAAAAGAAGGAAAAAAAAAAAAAAAAAGGGGGGAAGGGAGAATCTAAAAAGTTTTAATTTGTCAGTGGGACAAGAATAGAGGGAAACTATTCCAGTTGGGACACCCTTTCCCATAATAAAACAGTCTAAAAGTTTTTTTTTTTTTACTTCGGAGAGATAAAGCACAACTCTAGCCAAAACTTTAAGGCTTTCAACCTTACCAAGTCTAGGGAAGCACAAAAAATATCTTAACCTTTTTCAAAAACATTGTATATTAGGTAGTGTGTGTAAACATTCAGCAAAAGGGGCCACATCACATATTGCTTGCCACTGGAGGGAACTCACATACTCTTAAGGCATTGTTCTGTTGTTGGCCATATCCCTGAAGAATCTTAGCAATGCCATAGGAACACATTAATGTTAGCTCTCTGCTTTCTTAAAGTGTTACTAAACCCGCATTCACTATATCTGGTCTCCCACAGTACACACAACATGGAAATGCAATTATTTTTAGTAAATATAAACTGCTAAATACTTTTTCTCATCAGCAGTTTATAGCAGTCTCGTGACTTCTATTCGTGTCCAGGTGAGCACTGGTTGTAGGAGGAGTTTTCATTCGGTTCTGACTGTCCTATGAGACTGCATAACCCCTGACCCTCTGTCTGAACAGAGTTGCTTAGCCCTGTGCTGATCACGGGCACCCTTCCAAAAGAAAAAAAAAAAACTCTCTAGCAATACACACCAAACTGAGCATGTGCACAGTTACTCCTAGAGCTCAGTACTGTCAGCAGATGGATTGGGGACAGAAGGGGAGGATCAGATAAAACTGGATCAAACATCTTTTTTACACAGTGGAGGATTGTGGACTGTGGAGGATTAACCCATTAGGTTCCACAGTAAGTATAACTAGTATGCTTTACTGTATATACAGACATATTACTATTGTGAGTACTAAAACACTTTAATGACCCTGATAGGTTTGCTAGTTTAGCATTGCCCTTATTCAAAAAGTGTCAATTAAATAGTAACCAGTAGTAATTCTAATAGGCTCTGCACTTAAAGCTGAAGTTCAGCTAAATACAGGAGGCATGTGTTTTCTTATTTGAATCTTGGAGTGATGATGGATTTCATCCGGATCTGTGCAGTAATCTAGTGTGAAACTTTGTCTCTGTTCAGGAGCTTCCTGCAATAAAGACCAGCCACTGCTGTTCTCCCTCCTGGTGCAGAGTGACTGGTCTTGTATCCGCCCCTTCCTGTAGTTATTTGCAGGCATTTTGTAGTGGGAGGGTGCGTTTGCTTATTCCTACAATTCTGTTCTCTTCACAGGCTTTGTGCAGCACAGTGATGACCTCACTGCTACTTTTACAAGTTAGTATATGGGTTTGCAAAGGCATTTGTTGCACACAAAATGGATTTACATCCTTTGTACCCATTGAGGAATAAAATTGAATAAAGGCTTTTGTGCCTGGAGTTGAGGCTTAACATCTGACCTCCAATAAAGGGTTCATAATTAAAACAGATCCTGTCTGCATTTGCATGGGCATTTAGCCACGTTCTGAATTCCAGCAGCAAGAAACATATTCCTACGGCTGTTATTGAGGCTGGGATTGATCGTTTCAGCCATTGAGCCCATAGAGTGCAATGACAGGATGTCAGCAGTTGCACCTATTCGTGACTGTTCACACAGCCAATGATTACCTGCGGTGATCGTGGATGGACGCACACAAAGTACATCCATCACCACTAGTAATCACTGGGTGTGCGATTACGTAGAGTAAACTCTGTAGCAGACTTTGTGACCCTGTAGGGGACGGGGCTGGGGGCAACTGTGGGGAATGTGGTCTCTGGAGGGGGCTGGTGTCTCTCCAGGAGGAGAGGAGTGGGGAAGGCTAGGAGCAATCAGGGGGGCTGTGGCCACTGTTGCAGATTAAGGGATCTGTAGCTACCTGGAGGCCCAAGATGAGGGAGGCCACAGCTTGGCAGTGGGCCACGCTGCTGTGGTTGAGAAATACTGATTTACTCTATAGTCATTTGAATAATGCTATCTTTAACATAGTATGTTTTAAAGCTTTTTATTTATAGATAGGAAGAACCCCAGGAATTTGGTTGGGAGGCTACATTTATCCTACTCAGGTTTAAAAAATTAAAAATAGACACTGAAGTGGCGATAATACACTTTTTTTTCTTTTTTTTTCAAAATTTCTAGATTCATTCTCTTACAGGGTCCATAAAAAAGGGCTTTACATGCCCTTTGAACCTGTTTGAGTGTGAAGGTTCCTTTTCATAATCAAAATGCAATTTAAAAAAAAAAAAAAAAAAAAAAAAAAAAAAAAAAACAAGTTTGTATAAAATTTTCAATTTCTCTGTTTTTACAAAAATTAACTTGTTGTTTCACCAAAGTGTGCTCAATGTGAACACATGGTGGCGGTATTATTATGTGTATCAGAAGAATTTAGTACTGAAGGACATTTAGAGTTTACAGTCCCATATGAATCTGTAGTCACCATATACACATGCAAACTTTACAGCAGTTGCAAACAAAGATAATATGCTGAAGCTGAATTTTGCATATAATTTACCAGCACTTTATTGTTAAAATGGACAGTTGAACAGACAGTGGTTATTTGCTTATTTTGGAGTATTATAGTGTACAAAACAGAACCTGGGTACTTTAGATTACATGTTTTGAACAAGATCTCTCAATGTTCGTTGTGTTTGCTCTGTTAAGTTCTCTTCCACTTTTGCAGCAGAAATATTTCTTCCAGATATACAAAAACGTAGATCTGAACTTTTCAATACGGAAGGCATAGACAATAGGGTTCATAGCAGAGTTCCCATGGGTCAAAAAGATAGCAATGTAAGTTATGATCATAGGTGTGTTGCAAGTCTGGCAGAACAGCGTGATGCAGTTTATTGTGTGTAATGGTAGCCAGCTCAGAGCAAATAACAGTAAGATCAGAGCTAATGATTTGGCAATTTTCAGTTCCTTTCCATAGTACTTTTGTGGGTCCTTTGAGCTGGAAGACACTTTCTTGTTAAGCTGTCGCTGAATTAGGTTGAATACCTCCAAATAAATAATTAGCATCAGGATGAGGGGAGGAAGTACCCAGACAAAGAAATTGAAGTAGACCATATAGTCCATACTGATCACAGTTTCAAATTCGCAGGTTATAATTATTTCACCAAAAGTGGAATTCTGTTCCTTTCTCAGGTTGCTTATATTGTTCCATCCAAACATAGGAACCAAGCCAACAATGAATGACAGGACCCAGCATCCGGTGATGGCAATCACGGCTCTTCTGGCTGTTACAAAACTTTTGTAACTGAAAAGGAAAAAGATATATGTTAATAAACAAGTAACTATGAAAAAAAGAGGCATTCACCACAGTCACAGCACTAATATTAAGCAAGTCTGGATTGACTGTCATGGTAGGTAAGCAGCCTTGATAACCAGAGATCCTGACACCAAGCTTGTCTATAGCGTCTTCAAAAAAAACTGCAAGACACCAAATGCTTGGACTTACTAAAAAGTACAAGTAACAAGGTGGTCACCAAAGGCAGCTTTTTATCTCAGCATAGTTTCCCTTCAAAGGAAGCCTGTAGTTTTTGGTGGCCGTTATTGATGACTGTTACTAATCCAGTGGCTTTAAACCACTGATCCAACAAAAAGTATGCATATCGTAAACTTTGATTTAATGGATTTTCTAATCTGCATGCCTGTTCCAGATTGGCAACTCCGCATAATACAACTAGAAATAAAATAACTAGTCTTAGAAGGTGTGCAGACTTGAGAGCAAAGAACAAGAGGACTCAAAATTCTGAAACGAGTAAGACATCTCTAAGTGGCTGCTGTCCTACAAGGACATGCACCCTCTGCAAAGATGTATGGTATATTTTTACATAGTTACATTGGTCCAGTTTGGACCATTCCAACTCCATATATACCATACCTGGCTGATGCTCCTGGAAGCTACAAACCACTGACGTAGACACTGCTATGCCGGGGATCTCCCTTGTTTTCTGGGTCCCACTCTAAGGGGCTGGGCCTGATTTATTCTGAACACATGAGGTCGGCATCTCAGCATGTGTGTGATTGACCTGCCTCTCCACCTTGTCCAATCAGAGAACACTTTGCATTCATTCAGAACATTGGCCAGGTACCTGCAATTCACTTTTAACACTAAATTGTAAGTGCATATGCACTTAGTTTCTTAGTCCCTTTGCAAAGTCCCACAAACAGCTGCTTAGCCTACAGTGAAGTCCAGTCAATGCAGCTTCCTGTTATGGTGTGGCAACTAGGCTGCACCGCTTCTGAGTTCAAAGCAGAGTTGCCACTCATGTAGATTGTGCTTCCTTGTCCTACAGTGGGATGAAAACATGTTGCAGGGAAAGTGGCTATCATTATGGTCACTGTTGATTCACAAGCCTGTAGCTTGACTATCAGCATCTGGATATACCTAGTTTTGCCCACTGTTTTCTGGATTGACTGTAGTGCCCCTGTTGCTGAAAACCTCCCACTTTGAGCTGCAATGTCTGCAATAGGGGAGAACGTAAAAAACATTTGAAAGAAGATTTGTCCCTGTTAGGTTTAAAATAAGTTTTTGTTTACTTAAAGCAGAGCTCCACCTAACTGGGGAAGTTCCACTTTAAGCCTTTGCTCCCCACTCCCCATTAAGGATTGGCACCTTTGGGGAGTGGGGGGGGGTTGTCCTCCGCCCTCCCTCCCCGTAGTTTTCTGGGACACTTGACAGGTCCCAGAAGACTATGGGGCCATTCACAAAGCGCAGTGCTTCTCGCGCATGCACAGTGAGCACCCGGCTGTGAAGCCGCAAGCTGTAACAGCCGGGTGCCCATACTGAAGATGCCGGCACCAGGGAGAGAAGACGGCCGGTGAAACCAGCGGTGGTGAGGAGACCTCTGGATTGAGGGACAGGTAAGTGTCTGTATTTTAAAAGTCAGCAGCTACAGTTTTTGTAGCTGCTGACTTTTTTTTCCAGATGGAACTCCGCTTTAACGAGGCTTAAAACATCATGTAGTAACTGGATTTGGTACTTGTTTACAGTAGATATCCATACAGTATCCTTTACATGTACTTTACATTAAACCCTTCCTTAGTTGGCTTGCAAATGTCAAAGATCTCTATGAGAATATACTAAAGCAATTGTTGAAATTTTTGAAGAATGAAATGACAAAACAACAAAGAATTTGGTCACGAAATGTATTCTCAGCTGAATGAGTATAATTTCCCCCTCCAGTATTTGGCTCAGATAGTTGGACATCTGTGATTCATGGACAACAAGAGGTAGCGCTGAACCCTTCTGGGTACACTACAATGGTGACTGCTGTTCTACCAATCACTCACAATGCATTGTCCTCATAAGTGTCACATGCAGTTGGCTGGGTTTGTAGTGAAGTCACGGACCTTTATTCGTTTGGCTGATATACTCTAGCTGTACACATTTGTAACTGCTTCAAAACACCATCATCTTTTCAGACAGACTAATCTGCTTATATTCAAATGCAATCAAAACATACTAGGTTTGCTAAACAGTACAAGAATGGATTAAATCATGATTGAACATTTCATATTGGAGCCAGTACTTCTGAAAAAAAGACAGACTTTGCCATATTATTATCCATTTATTTTGTACAGTGACATTTTATGCAAAAAATACTAAAACGCTAAAAAAAAGAACCAATTCATTAAAATTGAAGAAACAAAAAAATTGTGTTTAGTGTAACCAAGCTGTTTTGAAACTTGATTGCCTGCCATTAGTATAAAACACTATTTTGTTTTCTTTTGTCAAAGTTACATCAACTATTCACTGAAAATTAAAACCTAAAGAAGGATATAATACTCATGCGCTGCCAGAAATGATATGCTGCTGCAAGCACCTAAATGCGTTCCCACATCAATAAAACTCCAAGAATAGTGCTGTGCTGCCCCCTAGTGACCAAAAAAAAAACCCACACTAACAAGCACCCTCCTGACCATCATACCCAATGTGTAATAGAATAAATCTGTGAAACAAAGTCAATAGTAAATAAAAGACAAAACAAAAAGAAAACAAAACTGGCTGAGCCACTAAATCCAAATAAGCGAAACATCAAAAATAAATATAAATCAAGTAGCAATAAACACCTGGCCAGCCTATCATAAACACCCGGCTGAGCTGAAGAATAAATTGTAAAAAACAACAAAAACAGTAAAATATATGAAATGTATATCAGAAATAAAACATGATCACAATAGCAGTAAACACCAGGCCGAGCTGTAATAAACATCAGTCTGACCTAAAGCATCAAGTGTGAAAATCAACAAAAACCGTATTAAAAAGGACTGTAAAACAAATGCCTGGCTGAGCAATCAGCCCCCAGTGGAATAAATATGTAAATGTTCAACTGTGCTAGATATTCACAAAAAGTGCGTATTAAAAAAAAAAAAAAAAAATAATAATATGATTAGCCGCTCTGAATATACAAAAAAACATATAAATGGTGAATGATTGATAACACCTAACGTGCAAAATGCAGTCCAAAAGTGATACAACAGTCTCTTTATTCCAACATTTAAAGTAAAATTAAAAATAATCAAAAAAAAATATATTTTTTTTTTCATACTGTCACCAGTCAGTGTCCCTGTTCACCGCCATGCCAGTTATATGATGACGCTGTACTGCACTGGTGACAGTATGTAAAAAAAAAAAAAATAGTGAAAATTATTTTTTTAAATTTTTTCAATTTCCGAAAAATTATGACAAAAAAATACAACTTCAAAAAACTCACCATGCCTCTTATGAAGTACGTCGGACTGTCTACTTTGCAAAAAAAGGGTCATTTGGGGGATATCTGTACGGTTTTGACTTTCTTGGACCTCAAAAAATTAGATTGGCTGTCAGTACTTCAGGATTGATCAATATTCAGATCTATACCATAGTTTGTGAACTCTATAACTTTCCTACAAACTAAATAATACATCCTAATTTGGGTTATTTTCACCAAAGACATGTAGCAGAATACATCTTGGCCTAAATTTATGAAGAACAATTATTTATTTGCAAACTTTTATAACAGAAACAAAGAAAAAATGTTTTTTTTTTTTCAAAATTTTCTGTCTTTTTTTGTAAATTTAGCAAAAAATAAAAACCCCGGCGGTTATTAAATACCCCAAAAAGAAAACTCTAGTTGTGTGAAGAAAATGATAAAATTTTAGTTTGGGTACAATGTTGTATGACCGCGCAATTGTCATTCAAAGTGTGTGAGTGCTGAGACCTGAAAAATGGCCTGGGCAGGAAGGGGGTAAAAGTGCCCGATATGGAAATGGTTAAGGGAAAAACAGGGTGAACACAGATGGCGGCTCCTGCACGCACCAAAAAAGATGTCACAAGCTTCCGTCCTATGCGTTACACCATGAGTCACATGGCTTCTTAAGGGATGTTTGTAATAGGTTCTGTGAACCTTGTATCTATGCGAGTGGCATTTATTATACATTTTTATGGTAATAAAGCCTTATTACACTATGAAAAGTTCCTTATCTTTTGAGCACCTATCCATCGGAGTGGGGATGTAAAGGATTGTATCTGAGAGTGCCTGGAGAGACTTGTGGAAGCAGAGGATCCAGTGGGATTCATATTGAGCGCATGTTGACCTATATTTTCTAAGGGTCAGCTGTTAAGGGGAGCGCGTATGCCTGAAGGTGGGGGAGCACGATAGATCTGCACACCTGTTGAAGTCACTGGTGCATTACTTTAAATGTTCGACGAAAGAGACTTTTACATCACTTTTGGACTGCATTTTGCACTCAATGTTATCTATCATTCACCATTTATCTGTTTTTTGTATATTCAGTAGAGCTTTTTTTTTTTCAATATGGGTGATAAGGCTTAGTCCAGGGGCGGACTGACCATTGGGAAACTCTGGCACTGCCCGAGGGCCCGGGGTCAGTAGGGGGCCCCATGAGATGCCCCTGGTACCTTTTTCATAGGCTTTTTTGAGTTTGGGCAAGGACACAGGGGCCCCATGATCGCCTATTGCCTGGGGGCCCCATGAGTTGTCAGTCCACCCCTGGCTTAGTCACAAACAAAAGGCCAAAAGAAAAATCTGCTGAAATCAAAGCTTCTTGTGTTTAATAATCTCTAGTACCTTTTTTGCTTTCGGATGTTCTTTCCCTCTTGTGTCTTTTCTGTTTTTTATACTTTAATTTCTTCAGGCAGGCAGGTATACTGAATTTCTCCAGAT